GGCCCGAGGGGTACACGGGCTTCCCCTGGCGGGGAGAGCGGAGCCCGGGCCCGAGGGGTACACGGGCTTCCCCTGGCGGGGGGAGCCGGGCCCGAGGGGTACACGGGCTTCCCCTGGGGGGGAGAGCGGAGCCCGGCCCGAGGGGTACACGGGCTTCCCCTGGCGGGGAGAGCGGAGCCCGGGCCCGAGGGGTACACGGGCTTCCCCTGGCGGGGAGAGCCGGGCCCGAGGGGTACACGGGCTTCCCCTGGGGGGGAGAGCGGAGCCCGGCCCGAGGGGTACACGGGCTTCCCCTGACGGGGAGAGCGGAGCCCGGGCCCGAGCGGTACACGGGCTTCCCCGGGCGGGGCTGCACCTGGTGCCCAGGCTCCAGGCCGAGGGCTCCAGGGTTTGCAGCGCGGGCTCAGTGCTAGAGGCGTGCGGAATCTTCCCTGACCGGGGATCAAACCCGTGTCCCCCGCACGCAGGTGGATTCTTATCCACTGCGCCCCCAGGGAAGTCCCCAGGTGACTAAGTCTTAACTTTCTTCAGTCCATCCTGAGCTTCCCTGGGGGCTCAGACGGTAAAGAATCTGCCTGCAATGCGGGAGGCCCGGGTTTGGAGGATGTATTGATGAAACTGACTTCTGTCTTTCATAACTGTTGTAGAAGCAGTAGGAATTAAAGCAGTACTCTACACTATCAGAACCTCAGGCTTAAATTTCTATAAACATTCGCTTACTTAAACTGAGACAGAAAATCCTTGTCCTTCATGGAACTTTCGGTCTATCACAGCTGTGGATGCTAACATTAAAGTGTGCTTCCCACGCCCCAGGCACGGCAGTGTTTTCCGTAGAGTAACACATTTAATCCTCACGGTCAGTCCTGTGAGTTGGGCGTCACTGTTTCTCCCATTTTACAGATAAGTAAGCTGTTAAGAGGTTAATTCACTTGCTCAAGGAAACACAGCCAGTAAATATACAGCAAGGGTTCCACTCAGGCAATCTGGATCCTAAGCCATATGCCCGTAATATCATCTCAAGCTGCACCTCAGAAGATGACACATTTCACCGCTGAAATTAGAAAAAGGGGGAGACTTCCCCTGCAGTCCTCTAGCCTTGCAGTGCCAGGGATGTCAGGTCAATCCCTGGATGGGGAAATAAGAGCCCATATTCCACGGGGGTTGCCCAAAATTTAAAATAAGTAAATAAAATAGTCAATTGATAAAAAATTTTAAATTTAAAAAAATTTTTTAAAAAATGAAAAAGACACAAGGTTGGGTTTCATGAGTGTAAATGTAGATTTCTCTTCTCCAGGAGAAGGAACATTTCTTTAAAAATCCTTGTCACTGCAATTATCTACGGATGTTAAAAAGAGGTAAGAGGGAAGCAAGGAAGAGAGATTACCTGAGGCAACAGTAATTACTTCTTAGATGCCTGGCTGTGTGCCACTTGATTTATCTGACAGCTTCAACAGACTGAGCAGCAAAGCGTCAATTGTTTCTGAACTATTTGCTTTGGGAGGTTATAAGAAAATGAATACTACTGATTTCCAGGTAATTCCCAGAGAAAAAGAGAGGAAAAGTCCAAATCACAACTGAATGAGTTCACTTTAACTCATCCATTCATTATTAACGAGACCACAGAATGGAGAGTAAACACATAAATTAATCCCCTATTAGTGGAAGTCTTCCATAGGGATTGTTGTTGTTGAACAAAAGTACAGCAAAGTTAAAAATAAAAATTAACTCAAATCTCCCTGATGTTCCTTGACTGAAGGACTCCTACCGTAGCTTCTCAAAGGCACTGTTGGATCTGTGTCTACAATAACAAAGTGACGCCACGCATGCTGAAGCGATGAGCGTAATGTAAGTAATACTTTTCATGGCATTCAGTTAAAACCAAGTCTGGATTCATTTAAGAATATTCTAGAGATGATAAGCCCCAAATCCCTCTCTCTCTCACCTTTCCAAACAAAACAGTTTCCCTGTTGTAAAGAGCATGGAAAAGTGAGGAAATGGTCATCATGACTTGGAAGGCATTTGTTTTGGAAGGATTTATCTTGTTCATCTGTATGCTCCATCACCCACCACAATGCCTGCCATCCAGCAAATAAGCAAATACTCCTCCAATTAAACAGTCTATGAACCACACTTTGAGTGACAAATCTAGAAAGCAGTCAGAGGAATTGTTTCTATTTTTTTTTCCCAGTCTCTACTAAATAGAAGGCCTTCCTATCACCAAAGACAACGTAAACAATTTAATCAAGAGCAAAGCTGCAGCAACTAAGTATCACGCAGTTACTCTGCGTGTATGCCATCTGTATTCTCCCTACACACCTATACTTACAAAGGGTTATTTTCAAAGAAATAATACTGCACATCTACAACTCTGTGCTTTCTTCGCTACAAGACTCAATGCCTTGACTGCTTTCTCTCTACACTATCAGAAGAGATAGCTATTAAATGATTTGAAAGACAAAAGTCTTGACTAGTTAAAGGGTAACAATTACGGACCTAACCTTTGCACTTCATGCTTTTCACAACACTTCAAGTGTGGTGTCTCAACCTAGAGATTCTCACACGGTAAGATCCTTAGTTCCACCACTTCCATTTTTAATGTGAGG